AGATGACTGGATTTATAGCTAGGAGGATTGGCAAATTGTGTGTTCTTGATGCCACCCCACCTAAGGCCATCTCTCCCACACCTGGCTCTGTCAACACCTCCTCTTCTCCCCAATTCGAACCTGCTAAACACGATCCTGCCACTATTTGGCATCTTAGGCTTGGACACTTAAGTCCATACATACACAAATGTATTTCCTCTCAATTTCCTTTTGTCACCTACAATGACAATCATAAGCCCTGTAATACTTGCCATTTGGCTAAGCAAAAACATTTGTCTTTTACTCACAGTAATACTAAGTCTGTTGCCATCTTCGATTTACTTCATGTTGATATTTGGGGCCCTCTTTCCACACCTTCCATATGTGGCCACAAGTATTTTTTAACCCTCGTAGACGATTACAGCAGGTTTACTTGGACAATTTTTATGGCCAACAAAAGTGAAACCATAAACCATTTAATTCACTTCATATCCTTTATCGAAACCCAATTTAAAAAGAAACTCAAGTGCATTCGTAGTGATAATGGCCCTGAGTTTCTCATGACCACCTTCTACCTTTCGAAAGGAATCATTCATCAAAGGTCTTGTGTGGAAACGCCTCAACAGAACGATATCGTGGAAAGAAAACATCAGCACATTTTGAATGTTGCCCGTGCCCTCTCTTTCCACTCTCACCTCCCTCACAACCTTTGGCACCTTTCCATACAACAGACCATTCATATTATAAACCATCTTCCCACTCCTCTTTTAAACAACCACTCCTTACCAAAAACTCCATTCTACTCCTCCCAGCCTTAACCATATGAGAGTCTTTGGTTGTCTTGCCTACTCTTCGACCTTGCTTAACCATCGCACCAAATTCGAACCAAGAGCAAGAAAATCTATTTTTCTTGGCTACAGGGAAGGCACAAAAGGCTACCTTCTCTATGATCCTATCACACATGAATTTTACATTTCAAGGAATGTATTATTTTATGAAACTGTGTTCCCTTTTGCATCCATCCCACCTACACCTAATCCTATAATCCTTACTCCTGACCCTCCTTCCCTTGATTCACCTGATATTTCACCAACATTCCACCCAACTTACCTCCACAATCAAACGAACCTTCCTCTCCTACCTATGTCCCCCAACCAGATTCTCCCAATAACCACTCTTCTTCCTCAAATGACTCTAACAACTCCCCTTGCCCCTCCCCTCCTGTGCCAACCAGAAAATCCAATCGAAATATTAAACCTTCAGCTTATCTATCTGATTATCACTGCAATTTGCTATCCCCCATGCTTCCAGCATCTGACTCAGGTTCCTCTATCTACCCTCTCTCTTCTGTATTATCTTATAGCCAATGTAGTTCTGATCACAAATTATTTTGTCTATCCATAAGCTCTTTAACAGAACCAAAAACCTATAAACAAGCCTGCAAGTTTGATTGTTGGAACAATGCTATGAAATCTGAGTTAGATGCTCTTGAATCTACAAATACTTGGTCTGTTGTTGATTTGCCTGCAGGCAAACAATCAATTGGTTGCAAATTGGTCTACAAAATAAAGCATCATGCTGATGGATCCATCAAAAGATACAAGGCCCGTTTAGTAGCAAAAGGATACACTCAGCTAGAGGGGGTAGATTATTTCGACACTTTCTCACCTGTTGCGAAGCTTACTTCTATTCGAACCCTTCTCTCAGTGGTTGCCATTAAGAATTGGCACTTAGAACAACTCGACATCAACAATGCCTTCCTTCATGGTGATCTACATGAAGTGTATATGGATCTGCCTCCTGGATTCCTGCTCCCTGCTTCTTCGACCAACGAAGTCTGCAATTCTTTGACCAATAAAGTTTGCACTTCTTCTGCTTCTTCGACCAATGAAGTTCGCACTCCTTCGACCAACGAAGCTTGCACTTCTTCGACCAAAGTTTGCACTTCTTCTGCTTCTTCGACCAACGAAGTTCGCACTCCTTCGACCAACGAAGCTTGCACTTCTTCAACCAACGAAGTTTGCACTCCTTCAACCAACGAAGTTTGCACTTCTTCGACCAACGAAGTTAGCACTTCTTCGACCAACGAAAGTTGCACTTCTTCGACCAACAAAGTCTGCAAATTGCATAAGTCATTATATGGCCTGAAGCAGGCTAGCAGACAGTGGTTTTCGAAATTGTCCACTGCCCTTATCTCTCTTGGCTACTCATATTCTTCTGCTGGTCATTCTTTTTTCACAAAATCACATGACTCTTCTTTTACTGTTTTATTAGTCTATGTTGATGATATTGTCTTAGCCGGTAATGATTTGCAGGAAATCAAATATGTCAAATGCTTCCTTGATTCCACTTTCAAAATCAAAGACCTTGGTAGGCTGAAATATTTTCTTGGTCTAGAAGTTGCCAGATCAACTCACGACATTTTTCTCAATCAGAGAAAGTACGCTCCAGAATTGCTCGAAGACGGTGGCTTATTGGCTACTAAACCTTGCTCTACCCCCTTCGATTCCTCCTTGAAGCTTCATGATGATAACTCACCACCTTTCGAAGACGTCACAGCTTATTGAAGGCTTGTTGGAAAACTTCTATATCTGACTACCACCAGACCTGACCTTGCATTCATCGTTCAACAGCTCAGCCAATTCATCTCACATCCTATGCAAGTTCATCATTCTGCAGCAATTCGAGTACTCAGGTATCTCAAAGGTGCTCCTGCCAAGGGTTTGTTCTATTCATCTTCCTCTCCACTCAAACTTTCTGGCTTCGCAGACTCAGATTGGGCAAGTGGCCCTGCTACCCGCAGATCCGTAACTGGATATTGTGTGTTCCTTGACAATTCCCTAATATCCTGGAAATCCAAAAAGCAATCTACAGTATCCAAATCAAGTTCAGAAGCAGAATACAGGGCCTTGGCAAGCTTGACTTGTGAACTGCAATGGCTGCAGTTTCTGTTCAAGGATCTCCACATCTCCTTCGATCAACCTAGCTCAGTCTATTGTGACAACAAAAGTTCTATCTACCTTGCTCACAACCCCACCTTTCATAAACGGACAAAACATATCGAAATTGACTGCCACATCATTCGTGAGAAAATCCAAACTGGTCTCATCCATCTTTTACCAGTTTCCTCTGCTGCTCAATTGGCAGATGTTCTCACCAAGCCTTTGACAGCTCCCTCTTTCGATTCTCTTGTTTCTAAGCTTGGTCTATTAGACATCCATAGTCCAGCTTGTGGGGGGCTATTACATGATGAAAATAATTATGTTTTAGTTTGTTACTAAACAGTTAGTTTAGTTTGTTACAGTTTGTTACAATTCTGTTTAGTTTATTACTAAACAGTTTGTTACTTTAACAGTATATATAATACTGTTATGTACATTCAATATCATAATGAATACTATGAGTTTATTCCAAAATTAACATCTTATAAAACCTTCAAATCCACACTTTGATCTTGAGGTAAAAACTCTCACAGTTTTTCTGATGAAACCCCCTATGATTCTCAATCCAACCTTAAGTTACAACTAACCTAAGTTGAACGTTATCAACACAAGTCTAGATGGCACCCAAACAATAAATGATTATGTGTATGTTGTTTGTGTGTATGTATAATGCAAGGTTGAAGATGATGAGCAATCTTAGTATGCGTTTATAATTTCATCAAGTCGAAAAAGATACATGTATGAAATATATATAGGTGTGCAAGTTGGAGGCAAAAGGAAAACCTAGAAGTTTGAAAAGAAAAAATACTTTTGCAAATTTTTGATACATGTGTCGACACATGCAAGTTATGTGTCGACCTGTAAAAGGTCTTTGTGTCGACACAACATTCAATTGACTTGCATGCTTCAAAATAACAACACATGTGTCGACGCATATAATAAATGTGTCGACACATATAAAAGATTTTGCAAAAATATATTTTTAATAACAGGTGTCGACCTATATGAGGTATTTGTGTCGACACATAGTTCCAAAGCATATAAATTTTATTATTTAACCACATGTGTCGACACATAGTATGGATATGTCGACATATCCAACTGAATTTTATGCAAAAAATCATGTTTTATGTATGATACGTTTTGACATCCTTTTCAAACATGCTCTAGATGTATTCTAAGATCTCTAATGTAAGGATGCACAAAATAACTCAGAGATATCGTTCAATATACAAAAAAGCTAAATTAGTCATAGTTTTGACATCATGCAAAACATCTACTTAAGAGGCAAATGCATTCACAATATTTAGTAACTTTTGTTGGTTAATTAACCCCAACAATAGGACTATTTTTCTGCAAGCTTTAACTTCTCTACTTATCTCCAACGGATGCTTTTTAACTGTCATTATTTTCGTTGAAGGGTACTCACAAAAATTAATAACAATAGTTTTTATGCTTTAGTCTTTAGAGTTTTAATTAGGGATGGCAAACAGTCATGTTTGTACCGCAAAAATCCAAAAAAAGTGAGATGGGGCAGACTTTGTTAAGAGTACGGGCCTAAAATCTTACTTTATTCTATAAAAAAAAATGTGGCGCGGGACGGGTTTGCAGACATTGCATCTTTTAAGTCTAAAATCATAAATTTTCATGTTAATCGTCGCGCCTGCAACAAAAAAATGGGAGGAACTAAGCAAACATATTAGAAGGTGAGCATCTTAAACTTTAATCCGTCCCACAAAAAAAATGTGAGTAAAACAAACATGTCTGACAAATCCGACCCATTTTGTCACCCCTAGTTATAATGTCAATATTATCACCAATAGATTTGAAAAACATTTTGTTGTTGAAAGTTTGTGTCAAACTTGCAAAAGATGAAGTCATAGCTGCTAATAAAAGAATTTGCAAGTCATAGCTGCTAATAAAAGAAAAATAAAATAACACAATGAAATAGAGGAGAACTCAATGGTGAATGGATGAGAAAGGTGGAGAAATGGTTGATGAAGATGAAAAAGGTGAAGAAATAGATGAAAAATAGGTTGAAGAATAGTGGTGATTTTGGAAGAATGATGGATGACTTGCTGATTTGCAAAGAACATCCAAGAAGTTTTGCGAAGAAGATGGCTTTTTAAAAACGCAAACACACAGGTGAAGAGGTAAACGCCAAAAATCACATGAAATGACTTAAAACAATTATTAAGTCTTAAAATTTTCAACCATTGCTTGGATATGTTTACAGTATGAATTATGAAATAATCAATTATTACTAAGGTGACAATTGAATGAAAAAAAGTGATGGCTGTGACACTTACTCGCACTCTAAACTCAATCAGCATAAGATACAATTTCAACAATAGGTAACCAACAACAATGTGAAAAACCAAAAATTGACAATCTCCCCCATCTCACAAAAATGGTTCCCAACAGTTTTTTCCCTTCCCACATACCTAAATTCATCTCAAGTTTTTATAAAAAGGTTGTAGCTGTCTCTTAATCTGTCTTTCTTTCAACTCAGAATGGGGGCAGGAGGGACTTCAAGGGTGATTCCAGCTTGGATTTGGCCCCAACCAATTAGACGCCAATGCTTCTCGACACGTCTACTTAGAGCAATCTTCTCACCCTTGCTGGTGCACACAGGGGAAGTAAGTTGCAATTTTGCCAAATCGTTCTTCACAGCAACCACTCTGGCACCTGTCGACATTGATCCTATGTTCAACATAAGCATCTCTCCTTTCGCCAGTTTTGCAACTTTTCCTTGTCTCTCCGAACCTTTTGTCCGGACACCAAGAAGTCGTCGAAGCAAGAAAAAGTTTACCTGCAAGACCATGTGCATAGTTCATATTTCATGATTCATAACAGAAAATATGAACACTCATGACCCTAAGGCATAGCTGCGTGCGTACCTCAAGTTCAACAAAAACCTCGGGCAGTGATCCAACCTCTCCGAGAACTTGCCCTACCAACCTGTCAGCACGAGTCAAAGTGGGGTCCATTGTTGTTCCAACCCCAATAAGGCCACCAGGAACTGCAAACTGAAGCTCATTTTGTTCAGCATATAATGAAACTATTCTGGAGTAGATGGGTGTGCATCGGATGTTTCCACTCTCGTCTTTAACAACTATTCCAGGTCGAACTTCAATGAATTGGTTGACCTTTAAAACACCCTGCAAATAACAAATTGTAAAATGTGCTTAAAAATTATGTGTCGCGTGACTAACCGCAAAAACTTGCCCTGTGATGAACAGGAATTTGTTCTAGGCCAATTGAAAACACATAACATATTAAATTGGTTTAAACAAAAAAAAAACATTAACAGAAAATGGAAATACGAAATACTTAATCAAACTAAACAGGCACTAACAACTGCTAGTCAGATCAGTACAAATTAAGCAAATTTGGAATATTGATCAAAGAAAGACTTACCCTCAGAATACTTCCACCAGCTACACCTCCTTTTATTTCATCAACCTCATAACCGGGTTTATTGACATCAAATGACCGAATTACTATCATATTAGGTGGAGAAATAAAGTTCCGTTCAGGGATAGGGATCTTTTTCACGATGTACTCACACACAACGTCAATATTATACTTCAATTGTGCTGAAATTGGTACTACTGGTGCACTATCAGCAACAGTTCCCTACACCAAGAAAAAGGGGAGTGTGTCATTTATGTTGCTGAAAAAGGATTCTTTTGTATAAATAAACCTCTCCGTAGAAAACTTACTTGAATAAACTTCTGAATAGCTTCATGCTGGTTGATTGCCACATTTTCTTGAATCAAGTCTACCTTGTTCTGAAGGATAATTATGTGCTGTAGACGCATAATTTCCACAGCAGCTAAATGCTCAGAAGTTTGTGGTTGCGGGCAGCTTTCATTTGCAGCAATGAGTAACAAAGCACCGTCCATGATTGCTGCTCCATTAAGCATAGTAGCCATGAGAATATCATGTCCCTACAGAAATTATGAAATGAAGAAGAAATATCATACAGATGTAAAGGAAATATAGCTAAACACATCTCAGCATATACAGCCCTAAATAACAAATGATGGTTCAGGATCTTACAGGGCAATCAACAAAAGATACATGTCTCAGCAATTTCATCTTGGAATTTTCAAACCCTAGTACATCACACATAGGATTATCTTCCTTCCCACTTCCATAAGCCCTTCAGAAAAGAAAAAAAATTATCACATCACCAAATGTTCAATGAACTACCTCTAAAATAGCAAGTCTAAAATAATACCCACTTGTAGGACATAGGCCTTGGACACCGCTCATCTTCACACTTGTATATTTTTGCATTCGCATAACCAAGCTTGATTGTAATGTTACGCTCCAACTCATTTTTAAAACGCACAGTCTGCAAAAGACCCACGGGAAGTGAGAGGCCAACGGTTTAACTATCCATTATCGAAGCTTGACAAAAATGCATTAAAATACCATATAGCTTGGTTAACAGTAATACTTTATCAGAACTGAAAATGCAAAATAGGAGGGTAGAAAATTCAATCAATCGGCTAAACACTGCAAACCATGTACCATAAAATACACATTAACCGATTACAATATACAGTTAAACACCACCGCCATGCTTAAACATACCCAAAGAGAGTAGAAAAAAACTTAATACAAGGGCATACCTGAACACCTGATATTGCTTTCACAACCGTTGACTTTCCATGTGCCACGTGACCAATGGTCCCTGCAAGGATAAATTTCATTACCCATCATCAGCATTAACACACAGTCGCTGAAATAAACAAACCTAAAACTGTGATACAAAATATTACCAATATTGATAGTAGCCTGGCGAGATATGACTTCAGGAGAAAGCGGATGCAGTTTTGTCACATCCAACTTACTCAGGTCTTGTTCCATCAACCCCTTCCGCGACATTTTGGCTTCTGCTTCCAATAAAAACTTTAATTGACTCAAAAAACTGAATATGACAAATCAATAATCTATATGACTCCACATTTTTGCTGTAAAAATATGTATATAAATATGATACAAAGCATATTTCTTTTCTCTTGTGTCCCATTGTATAACCAACCATCATATCCGGCAACCATCATAACCGGCAACCATCATAACCGGCAAATCACGCATGATTACAAACAATTTTAAATTAAAAATCCCTAATGACCAAAAATAGACAGCGATTATTCTCTTGTATTATTACCTAAAACTTTCTTATATCAGGAAAAATTGCACAGAAGCCCCTTCAGATTTCAAAGATTTATAGATTAATTTTAGATTAATTCCTCAAATTTCAGTTTTGGAGTAAAACCCTAAAACTATATAGTATGTCTATGAAAGGGATAATGCAATTATTTATTGAAAATACAAATATGTAGCTAAAAACACAAATCAATAGCATGAACATATCAAAATCTAACACCATTAGATAGGTAACGAGCTCAGATACAACAATTCTGAATGATTCATACAAAAAAAAAAACGATTTCACAAACATCAAATGTTGTTAAAGGATTACCAATTAAGTGGATGAGTGCAAAAGCTACAGTGACCAAATCTCAGAATCTTCTGTAAGAAGAAAGACGAGGTTTTTTGTTGAAGGTTACAGACACAACAAGAACCTCTTCGAAATCGAACCCGGATTGAAGATTGTTTGTGTATATGGTTTTGAGGTTCTTGGGGGTGGCTAGGTTTTTTAGCTTGCGTTCAGGAACAGCAGAAAAAATAGGTTTACGGGTTTCGGGTTATTGATGGGTATTTATGGGCCAAACCATTGAAATGGGTTTCGGGTTTCGGGTTTTAAATATAAATCATTTATAAATTATAAATAATAATATAGAATTTCAATAATATAGAACAACAAATACTATTAAAATTGTATGATTTTTTATTCGTTAATACTTAAAAAACATTTTCATATATGTGAAAAATATTTAAAATTAATTTATATGAGACATAATTTTTTAGTATTTGGATAAATACATTTTTTCAGAGTTTTATATTTTCTCTTATTTATATCAATTACATATATTTTTCAATTATTATTTTAATTATGTAAATTTTAATTAGTATCATACATATTATCATATATCTTTTCTTTTCTTATATATAAAATTTGTTAAGTTATTGAAAGAAATTTTGACGTATAACTCAATTTTAATTTAGTCATTTATTTTTTAAATTAAAAGATATGTATTTAATTGTTGAGTAAATTACACTCTTCTCTTTCGAGAGATATTCATATTACACTATCTTTACCTCTTGTGTTAAGATATATCTTATTATCCTCTCTTATGCAAAATACTTTACAGTGCTCTCTCCGAGAAATACATATATTACACTAATCTTCCCTCTTATGTTAAAATACACATTCATCTCTCATCTTATACAAAATATATTACACTTCCCTTCCTTGAGAGATGCTCATATTATATTATCTTCTCCTTATTAGCCTATTGGCCATGATTTCACCCTTTAAAGGAGGAATAAGTAGGATGTTACGGTTTCAAATTCACTCACATGCTATCAGACGCTACTTAAAGGTAAACAAAATTATACAATTACATTCCTCTTCGACAAAACATATTAGAAAAATGATACTCTCATTTCTTAAAAGATGAATAAATTGCATTCTCCCTTCTTTTTAGTGGCTCGTCTTTCCCTTGTTTGTGAAGCTCACCTAAGTTATTAAAGGTTTTGAGGACCCTTATTCCAATACTTTCAATGAATGACAACCTCAGTTGAAGTCTTCTACTTAACATGTGTTTCTTCTCCTCATTATTGGCGCCCTTGACTAGTATCACCAATACGCCGAACCTCTCGATGTAGGATTGTATCAACATGTCTTTCCCTTGTATGATAAATCTTAGGTTTTCCATTTACTTGGGTTTCCTTCTCGACATTGTGAAGTGTATTGGAGATATGACTCCACACACGAGAGGGGTGAATTGTGGCGGTTTGAAAAAAAATAGTTCGAAATATTATTGTTTTCATTTTTAGAGTTCAAAAACACTTTTGATAAAAACGATTGAATAATAGTAGCAAAAAATAAATATGCAAAAAATAAAGAGATAAGCATAAAGATATGACACCATAAATCATAGAGGTTAGGTCTAAAATAGATGACTTAATCCTCTCCCCAAGACTTGATCTTGAGATTATCCAATAATGCTTATAAGCTTTTAGTAGGTTAAACTTATGAACTCCCTTATATAAGGATAGTGAAGTTTTAGCTTAATTTCCAACCAAACAAAGAACAACAGACCTAAGCGGTTAGTCGTCCTTCCAAACACGAACTTGAATTGGTTAGTCCCCAAGGTAAATTAAGATTTTATACGGGCTTATCTCGAAC